AGAGAGAGAGAGAGAGAGAGAGAGAGAGAGAGAGAGAGAGAGAGAGAGAGAGAGAGAGAGAGAGAGAGAGAGAGAGATTGCATAATCGTCTTGCGTAACTGATATGTTCATCTCCATTCAGTGCTGCAGATCCCTTATAGAAGGAAAAATTGTCCTGGGGCGAAACATCTGTACTCGCCTGGCATCCGGCTTATCTGCAACATTCCAGACATGCAATGCAAGGCCAGCCAATGCCATCTACTTGACCTCCTGAGCACACGGGCTACGAAACAGCAGAGCAAACACGAAGCAAACAAGGCTGCTGCATCAATGAGTCCTCCTATATTTCAAAGCTGCATCAATGAGTCCTCCTATATTTCAAAACCACACGTGAGAAAGGGAGTCCAACTTGTCCCATTATTCACATTCATTAATCACTCCGGGATTATTAGCAGTCCATAATGAGAAAATAATTTGTAACTCCAAGCTTCTGCAGGATCTGGCAGCCCACAAACCTGGTAATATACATAGCATACTTGCAAACACACTTTTGTCGTACTGTCTGGTGCCCCGCACGATGAGCGGCTCGGCATCTGCTTGCGCGCCGTACGAACGACAGTTTCCCATTCTTTTGTTTTCCTTTTGCTGTTCTGTAGACACCGAAGAGTGCAACACCTAAGGAACTAATCTTTTTCAAGGCCAGTCATACATGTTTTTCTTTCCGTCCAATTGGACATGAGAAATAAGGTGGCATTGCCCTCCCAGGATTTTTTATTTTTTTTTCCATCCCACAACAAATCTTTAAAGGAGACAGGTGACCATCGACCCAGCCATGCAACCCTTTTTTTGAGTGAATATTTCCCATCGTTCAACCAATTATGCTGCTCAAGCTACTGCTACTAAGTTATACACCACTTCAAATCTATCTTTTCGAGAAGGATAATCAACTCCACAAATATCGATTAAATCTTGTGTTCGTAACTTCGTATGATTTAAAAAAAAAAAAAAAAGAACATTTGAAAAAGATTGTCTGGGTTGGTATATATACAAATTTCCTTTTTACAACCCAATTGTCTCGGTATTTCTTACCGTGAAAACCATGCCAAGTTTGATTCTCAGGGAAGTACTTATGCTTGATTCTTTGTCGACCCCAGGTAGGGTGTCTATGAAAGACCGATGCATGAAGTTGTTGAAATATCCGGAAATCCATACGGTGAAAGATTACAGAGCATTCCAAAAACTCGCCGCATATGCCGGGCGCTGCATGGTGCAGGTCTGCTAGTGCGGCAAATGGCGGAATTCTTCGCACAGCGTCTGCTTGCACGTATGATATATAGCCATCTTCCAATATTCTGTCCATGTGTAGGCAAAATATACTGCTCACACAACGACAGGTGTGGCGGAATTCTTCGCACAGCGTCCGCTTGCATGTATGATACATAGCCATCTTCCACTACTCTGTCCATGTGTAGGCAAAATATACTGCCTCACACAACCAGGGGTAGGACATTGTGTCTACCGTCCATGTTCCTGGATGTTTTATTCTGCTCCTTCCGAAGCCCAAATTTATAAACGCTGCCAATTCATCTCTCCCCCTCCCTCCTCCCTGACAAAATTCATGTCTCACTTGCCCACATTTAAGCTTTGGAAGCTCAAAGCTTTACAGCTTACAAATTGATGCCTCCTCCCCAACCCCTTTTCAGCAGCATACGACAGGTGAAAGAAAGAAAACCCAGTTCTTTAAACATCGCGACCTTCCGCTGTTGCCACCGGATGCAGCAATGGAGTACAGATGGACTGAACTACACTCACTCAGCAGCCAAAAATCTCTGAGTAAATGATCGTCCTGCCGACCACAAGAATCCTCCATCTCTACCGCTGACAAATATAAACCCTGTTTAAAACAGAACGGAAATGGTAACACCCCCCATGCCTCCGCAGCTGGGATATCCTGCTTGTTGTAACCCTCCACCTTACCTTCTCACTCACTTCTACCAAGTCTACAAGGCACTTCCGCTCACCAACTTCCACTATGAATCCAGCTTACTGTGCATCCACCGCAAGATTCCTCTTTTGTACAACGTGTGCTTCAGAGAATCAGAAATGTGCTGATGAGCTGTGATGGCTGCTTCGGAGTTGATGACTTGTCGTTGCCATTTGCAACCCACATCCCATTCGCCACAAGAGGACTTCCCATTTCAACAGGGCAACAGACCTCATCACCACCATAGATCTTTCCGTACGCGCTCACCTGGACGGTGACAACAACAACAAATGATCACTCTTTGCCAGGAGTGACATCCTTGCAAGTTCATTAACGTGGAGCGAGAGGGATCGCGACCGCGTTATGCAGACTTCATCCCTCCATATGCAACATGTAGTGCATGTCCGGATAAGACAAGCTGGCTGGTGATATCTAGCAGTGCCAAAAGTAGCACATGACAAGCAGCAATGGTCATCCTATTGAGGACATTGCAGAGATACCTCAAAAAGCTGCCGAATTGCAGCAGTAAACGCCCAACATGAATAACTGAAGGCATGACGGACCATTCAGTGTCGGATATCCAGTGATAATGGGTCGGTTCATCACACCCTGGAACAGGATAGGGACCTTTTCATGTGAGTGTGGTTGTTCAGCAGCAGCATATTCTTTCCTTTCTTTCACAAATCGTCGTTCTGGTGGTAAGGAAATGCCAGCCACAGGCAACCAATCGTCAGTACATAGACGGCATGCTCTGCAGTCCCATCCATCCCCTCTCAACTCTTCTGCTGTGTGACATGGTGCTGCTCACACTACTCACCCCATCTCCCATCTCTGCCTTGCACTATTTCTTCAAATTTCCGTGCTCGACCTCTGTTGGCAGTGTGGAATCAGACACAGCCTCTGCTGCACTGTGAGAACTGTGATCACGCCCTGCCTCCAAATCCGGGCCCAGAGATACAATCTTGCCAAACGACTTTTGAGGCACGTTGTCAAGGAGAACACATGTCAGAGAGGGATAGTGTTGATGATAAACTGCCATGGCGATGAACAAACCCAGGAGGCCCCCAACGGTGACGTCCTGCCAGTGGTGCCAGTAATCACTTACCCTCGATATACACATCACTGCAGTGACAAGCATAGGGAACAACACCACCACCAGTCTCCAGAGTCCGCCGTTGCCGTTAAAAACGTGCAGCCTACCGGCAAGATAGAGAGCGAGGTAAGACATACCTGCAGAGGTCCAGGAGGCATGGCCACTAGGAAAGCTCTTTCTGCCTTCTTTGATCACACGAGCACTCCCGGTGCACCAGACATTACCGTCAGGTTTGAACCTCTCCTCCGTCCCCGGAGGAAAACACCGCCAATAGAAATCTGGACGCAGCCTTCCAACATATAATTTCACAATGTCTGTGATCACTGCCGTCAGCAGCACCGACGCAAAGAGGCCGAGAACGGCATGATGAAGATCGGTGCTGTCTTTATGCCCGAATCTCACTAGCAAGAAGATAACCAACACGGGGATCAGAATGGCGAAAATTGGAACCACCAAGGTGGGAATTGTGTTGTCCTTGAGGGGGTACCGCAGCTCATCCACCGCTTCCTTGGAGACATAGCGTTCAAATGGAGGGGCTAACTGAAGCAGAGCAACGACAATCATCAAGAGGAATACCAAAATCCAATCTCCTCCATTACTCCTTGCATGACCAAAAAACCCTGGATTAACGTCGACCTCTCTGGAGTCAGGATCAGCCATGGAACGAATGAATGGGAAGGACAGCCTGCTCCTTCTCGTCCTCCTCCACCTTCTCCTCTGTTGCCCAATAAAAAATTCCAGCCCACTCTCTTGGAGTATGATGCCTTCTCACACCGGAGTGTCTCCTCGCCACGTCTACTATTTCTGGGCTGCAACTGCTGTTGCTGCTGCTGACAATGACAACAACGACGATGACGATGATAATGATGATAACGATGATGCCGCTATCATCCACAGGTAACGTCTTTACATAAGCATCCACATGCACACTTTGTGGAGCATCTACCCTCTAGCCTCTTCTGATATAGTAGTGTCTTGCCCGCTTTATGTACTATTCCCACCCCACTCATTCACTCCCTGTGATATTTGTTTCCTTGCCGAGCTCCCTGATGACGGGCTGCTGCTGCTGGTGATCACGGTGTTGTTGTTGCCGTTGTCATTCACAGGTATTTGCATGTGAACTTACACGCATACTCTGTAGTACCCTGTTCTGACACAATACAGCAGTCTTTCCCCCTCTATGCATGACTTGCACCCCACCAAACATGCATTGCGTGTCCCAGAAAACCAACTGCTGTAATTCCCAGATCAGAAGGAGACAGAGGGAAAGGGTAACTCATTTGCATCAGCAGAAAAAAAATATACTTAGGGTTAGCCGTCTACCATCTCCTGATTTCATAAAGCCAAACTGCGTGCTTCGTGCACTACTTGCATCCCACCTGTCGACAACCTGCATCCCACATAACTGACTGCAGTCAGCACCAGATGGAGAAATCAAAGCATCTGCATGCGCACAGCGTATGTTAAGCATCAACAGAGTCCATAACAAGAACCACGCACAGCCACTATGAGCATCACAGTGGTGTGCATCAACTGCATCAAAAAATTAGCCTTCACTGGACATGAAACATTGAGCATGACGTACAGCTGTGCGCTATTCAGCTCTCTCTCTCTCTCTCTCTCTCTCTCTCTTTCTCTCTCTCTCTCTCTCTCTCTCTCTCTCTCTCTCTCTCTCTCTCTCTCTCTCTCTCTCTC